GATTCTGAAGTGTTGTATGTTTGCAAGTTTTTTCCCCGACACAATTCCACAATGTCGACCAAACGTTCTGCACTGACAAAGTCTCCTGCACTCGCTCCCAAAACACAGAGGACGATGAAACGATCGCACAAAAAGTTGGACTTCTGGACACGCTGAAGGGAGAGAGAAGTTACGGCTGTAGCAGAGTCCTGCACCGGGTCTGGTACCTGCACATAGTTGCTGAAATCAGGACCTGGAGCCCGAGCAGCAGAGAGTCTGTAAAGAGCGACAGACGCTCTTACCTCCATGAGGAGCAGAGCCGCTCCTTTCTCCTGCGTCACCTTCAAGACCGACCTGACAGTGAGTCCTGTTTAGTCCTAGTTCAGTCCTGGTTTAGTTCTGGTTTAGTTCTGGTTTAGTTCTGTTTTGGTCATAGTTCAGTTCTGGTTTAGTCCTCCTCTTCAGTCCTGGAATCAGTCTGACGTTAGTCCTGTTATAGTCCTGTTTTAGTCCATATACGGCGCAAAAGTTCAGCATCTTCGCAGTTATTTTGGTGAGACTAACTTAAAGTGCTGCAATAGTCGTGTAATATTTTACATTTTAAATGCAGTAATATTGTAATGTAACAAATCACTTTGAAATGACAGTAATAAGTCATAAATAACACATTAGAGTTTTAAAGTCACTTGCCCAACAGTGTTCATCTGTCAAGCTCTATTTTTGATGAAGTTACAGTCTCTCAAACATGATTATAAATTAAGGTGTCTGAAAAAATGGCTGAGGCTTTAGTTTGAGCTTTTCTGTTCTTGTATTTTCGTGCTCCTCAGGACAAAGAAACTGATTTTGATTAATTAGAAACTTGAACATGTGAATCATCAAGACCTGCATAGTCTCTGTGTACGTTCTGTGGGACGACCGCCCAGACTCCAGCTCCAGCGGCACAAAAACCACCGACAGGGTTTGAAATCCGCTGTTCCTCTGCAGAGTCTGGTCCCACTTTTATAATGAGGCTCTCACAGAAGTCCAGAGTCTGCGCTCCCAACGCTTCAGAAACAATCGCATCCGACGGGGGGTCATTTTTATCAGGTGTTTTAGGGGAAAAGAAAGGATATGTAAGAGGTTTTTTAAATTAGAAAATGTGAAATACTGTTCCCAAGGCGACCAAAAGCACGTTTAAAATAGAATTAAAGACACACGGACGCGTAATTCGTCTCCTTTAACTATAACAGTGAGCTCAGCGCCGCCGTATTTCACACTCGCGGCCGGAATCCCTCATTCGTCAAACTATTTAAAGGCTCGGAGTCTCTGGGGGAGCTGGTCACTAACAATGGGCTCGGTCGACTCTCCGGAGCGGAACATGTGGACGAGGCTAAAGATACAGACGGAGCAGATGGAACTGGGATTATTAAAGATTGTGTGAGTGTGTGAGTGTGAGAGCACTGCAGATTTCTCTGATCCGCCCAAGATTTTTAAACTTAGATCAGGGTATTCATGTTGTTTTCAGGTTTATGATTGACTCACTCGTTCTGAACTGGTTGTGTAATCTTAAAAATGGTCACACGTACAGGGAGTCGCAAAATATTTGACATCATTCTTGTTGAAATAACCTCAAATTTTCACAGAATGTTTAGAAGCAGATGACGATTTTACACTACCGTTCAAAAGTTTGGGGTCGTCCAGACAATTTTGTGTTTTCCATGAAAAGTCACACTTTTATTTCCCACCATGAGTTGTAAAATGAATAGAAAATATAGTCAAGGTTAGAAATAATGATTTGTATTTGAATTTTTTTATTTTTTCCTTCAAACTTCGACTAGGGATGGGCATGATTAGTCGATTAATCGATAATTGATCATTAAGAATTTCATCAATTACGTTGATTTTAATGGACAAACTGAATGTATGTGTGTGTGTCGTGACCAAACAGGTGTGTACATGTGTCTCTGCATCAGAAGGAGCGAGACACAAACAGTGGGTCAGTCTGTAACGAACCGAAGCACAAATGTGAATGATTACAACCAGGATTTGTAGAAGAAATTCCACACTTTCCGTTGCGTTGGGACAAGTGTGAGTCCATGTGCACAGTGGATAAAGCAGCACATATGTTTCTGTGTCCAGTGGGAAAAAGTTTTTCCAGGTGAGAGTCGCTCAATGTGGATGACGAGGCCCCGCCCCCCTCCCCCCGTACGCTGTCCTGGTTTTTGACAAACACAAATCTGGTCACACTGACCTGTATTCACCTGAGTCATGTCTTTTAATCCAACACAAGTTGAACCACATCAGCGACACAAGAGCTGGAGTTTTATCTTCACTTAGTTTATGTAAATTAGTGATGTGGTTTTAAGTTTTGTTTCTGTGAGATTTGAACAAAACTGAATTAAACACATTATAATGTCAAACAGCTGATGTGGATCTAGAGTCGTTATGTTTATATGTCGTAAAGTTGAATTTATTGATGCAGATTAGTGCAGATAGTAATAATAATGATGATCATTTTTATTTAAAAACATTAATGATTAATCGATAATCGATCGTTAATTCTTCCGACAATCGATTAAGAAAATTTCACCAAATGCCCGTCCCTACTTTCGATAAAGAATTCTCAAGTTGCAGCAGTTGCAGCATCACAGACCTTTGGCATTCTAGCTGTTCATTTGTTGAGGTCATCTGGACAAATTTCACCCCTCGCTTCAAGAATCTCCTCCCACAAGTTGGATTGTCTGGATGGACACTTCTCTTTCTACTCTGCTCAGAGCCTTTTTGTGCTGTTCTCTGAAGGGAGTAGTTCACACAACTGTAGGAAATCTTCAGTTTCTTGGCAATTTCTTGCATGGAATAACTTTAATTTCTAAGAACAAAAATAGACTGTTGAGTTTCACATGAAAGTTCCTCTTTTTCTGGCCATTTTGAGCGTTTAATTGATCCCACAAATGTTCTAACATGATGCACAAGGGTTTTCTACTCATCCTTTAGCCTTCTGACACAATGAACAAACACATTGTACCATTAAAACACTGGAGTCACAGTTTTTGGAAGTGGGCCTCTTTACACCTCTGTAGATATTGCATCCAAAAAACAGACATTTGCAGCTAGAATAATCATTTACCACATTAATGATGTATAGAGTTTATTTCTGATTAGTTTAAAGTTCTTCATTGAAAAAAACACTGCTTTTCTTTCAAAAATAAGGACATTTCTAAGTGACCCCAAACTTTTGAACGGTAGTGTAGATGTAAAGTTTTGTTTTTGTTTTTTCAGGTTGAGTCGTTCACTCCCAAACAAAATCATTTTGTTTCTTGAATCTGCTGCTCACACTCACCCAAGACTGAAACTTTGCAGATGATTTCCAGATGATCTCGCTGCATGGACACATCATTTCACACTTTAAAGTCATTTTCTGGTGTGTCTGAAGAGTTTAGATATTTTACATTTTGGCAGTTTTTTTTTTTTGCAGTGAACAAACTTGAAACTCTCCAGTGTGAAACCGTTTTCCCACATTCTTCAAACTCTTTAAAGTTCGTTTGTCTCTGGGCGATTTCACTAAACACAAACAAAAACAGTCAGAAGGTTCTGGGTTTGCTTCTCTGTGTTGAGTTTGCATGTTCTCTCTGTGTCTGTGGGCACGTCCATCAAACTGAAACCTGCACAACACGTCAGATCCTCCAGACCCGGTCCAGATCCTCCAGCTGAGGTCCTGACCCAGACCTGGTCCAGATCCTCCAGCTGTGGTCCTGACCCAGACCTGGTCCAGATCCTCCAGCTCAGTCCTGACCCAGACCCGGTCCAGATCCTCCAGCTGAGGTCCTGACCCAGACCTGGTCCAGATCCTCCAGCTGAGGTCCTGACCCAGACCTGGTCCAGATCCTCCAGCTGAGGTCCTGACCCAGACCTGGTCCAGATCCTCCAGCTGAGGTCCTGACCCAGACCTGGTCCAGATCCTCCAGCTCAAGTCCTGACCCAGACCCGGTCCAGATCCTCCAGCTGAGGTCCTGACCCAGACCTGGTCCAGATCCTCCAGCTGTGGTCCAGACCCAGACCTGGTCCAGATCCTCCAGCTGAGGTCCTGACCCAGACCTGGTCCAGATCTGGAGTTGGTCCCACTGCTCCTGACATGTTTAACCCAGTGAGACTGAAGGACGAACGGGTCAAATACAGAGAGTTTGTCTAAAGAAACAATGAAATGTATTTTAACTTTATGATACTAAACACTGTCTCTGTGTGTGTGTGTGTGTGTGTATGTTTGTTGTTCATTGTGTGTATGTTTGTATGATTGTGTGTGTTGTGTGTGTGTGTATTGTGTTGTTTGTGTGTATGTGTGTTTGTGGTGTGCGTATGTTTGTGTTTCATTTGTTGTGAATGGTGTGTGTTATGTGTATGTATGTGCGTATGTGTGTGTGTGTTGTGTGTGTGTTGTGTGTGTGTGTGTGTGTGTGTGTATGTTTGTGTGTGGTTGTATGTCTGTTTCGTTGTGTGTATGTTTGTATGATTGTGTGTGTGTTGTGTGTGTGTTGTCTGTGTGTTGTGTGTGTTTGTCTGTGTGTGTCTGTGTGTGTCTGTGTGTGATTGTGTGTGCTTGTGTTGTGTGTGTGTATGTTTGTGGTTGTGTGTGTTTCGTGTGTTGTGTGTTATGTGTATGTTTGTGTATGTGCGTGTGCGTGTGTTTGTGTTGTGTTGTGTATGTTTGTGTTGTGCGTGTGTGTGTGTGTGTATGTTTGTATGATTGTGTGTGTTGTTGTGTGTGTGTTGTGTGTGTTGTGTGTGTGTGTGCTGTGTGTATGTGTGGTTGTATGTGTTTCGTTGTGTGTATGTTTGTGTATGATTGTGTGTATGTGTGTTGTATATGTGGTTGTGTGTGTGTGTGTGTGTGTGTATGATTGTGTGTGTGTGTGTGTGTGTGTGTGTGTGTGTGTGTGTGTGTGTGTGTGTGTGTGTGTGTGTGTGTGTGTGTGTGTGTGTGTGTGTGTGTGTGTGTGTGTGTGTGTGTGTGTGTGTGTGTGTGTGTGTGTGTGTGTTGTGTACAGCGGAGCAGTTCTGGTGCCTTCTGGACATTGTGCCGATTAAAAACGAGAAAGGCGACGTGGTTTTGTTCCTCGCCTCCTTCAAGGACGTCACCGACACCAAAGCCAAAGCCATTCACGAGGACAAGAAGGAAGGTGAGCGCCTGCCACAGCACCTGCACCTGCCACAGCACCTGCCACAGCACCTGCCACAGCACCTGCACAGCACCTGTCACACAGCAGGAGGGCACCAGGCTTCTCCACATGTAAACATGTTATTGAATCCAAACTGGTCCCATTAAAATCAAGATAAATTTTTAATCAAATGTTTTTATCGCCTGTAGTTTCTCCCTCTGGTCACGTTTACATGTTATTTTTTTATTTTTTTTTATTATTTTTTTTTTTAATTCCAAATGAATAGTTCTGAATTAAAATATTCTTCAAGTTTACATGGACACAATAATTACGTCTTTGGGAAGAAAACACACACTTCAGCTGCTCCCGGCACAAACATGATCCAAACTTTTCCCGCAGTGGTTCCGATAATAATTGCGGAGCAGCAGCTGAAGAATTGTCTCATCTCGCTTTCTTATTCTTATTTCTTTATTTGTAAAGGGACAGAGCATATTCATGAACATTTAAAATTTAAGTAAGTGCAAACCCCCTCCTCCCGTACATCTCGCGGACCGTCCCCCTCCTGTACGCTGACCGCCCCACTAAACCAGAACTGGACCAGGTCTAAAACAAGTCTAAAAACTGATCTAAAACGGTTCTAAAAACAGGATTAAAACGGGTCTAAAACAGGGTCTAAAACTCATCTTAAAACGGGTCTGTAAACAGGTCTAAAACAGGACTAAAAACAGGTTTAAATCGGGGTCTAAACCAGGTCTAAAAACGGTCTAAAACAGAACTAAAACAAAATTAAAATGGGACTAAAACAGGGTCTAAAACCAGGTCTAAAACAGGATTTAGCCAGGACTTAACCATGGCACGTGGACCACTTCCTCCCATACTCCCCCCTCCAGTCTGCAAAATATTGTCTCATATAAAACCAACAAAGTTTGGAACCACTGATCTACAGGACAGAAAAGTACAGCAACAATCACACAAAAGCACACAACACCAGCACACACACTGTACACACACTGTACACACACTGTACACACACTGTACACACACAACTCTCTTCAGACGGTTCATTTGAAGTTAAATCGTTAGTTAAAGAGTTTCCAGATCTGGACGTCAGAGTCTCGAGGTGGAATCCATCACAACTTCACCTGAATCACGTCCTCTTCTCTCTGAAAACCCCCAGAATCATCTTTAACACTCTCAGGTGTTGCTGTGTCCTCATCTGAAGTGTTTCTGCCGAGCTGTGAGACCCCGAGTCCCGCACAAACACACAAATACACAAAAACACAAACGCACAAACACAAACCCAAACCTCACCTGACCTCAATTAAAGTTTCTGAACAACAGCCCGTAAAACGTCCTCACAAAATGTTCCTCCAGAGCGCGACGTCCTTCCCCTCTGTCCCCTAAAAAACAAACGAGGAAACAAGACGACGGAGGCAGAGGGACGTCACCGCAGCGTTCGGCGACGGCAGGCTCTACTCGCGTTCCGTCGCAAACCCGGGAGACGTTTGGAAACATGCGGTGAAACTTCTGGTGTAGTTCTGCACAGATTTCTATCCTATGCACACGGATATTTCTGAAAGCTTTCTTACTCCATAAATTTGGCGCCTCGTCTCTTCTAATCGCATGAACCCAGTGCGCTCGGAGTCGTGCGTCAGCGGGGAAACGGTGAAAACTTGAGGTGTGGTTGGAATTGTTCATGAGCCGAACATAAGGGGTGGGCAAACTTTTTGGCTTGGGGGCCACAAAGGGTTTTGAAATTTGACTGAAGGGCCGGACAGGAGCAGATGGATAAAAAAAAAAAAAAATTAATCATTATTACTAACAGTTTATATTTAAAAGCAGTGAAGGTTGTGTTCTCCTTCAGGATATTATCATCATCACTCTCCTACTGACTCTTTATTTCAAAAATGGCAGAAGATGCAGCTCTACTTCTGTTCAATGTGCATCTTCAAAACTCAACAACGACCAACACGAGGACAGAACAGTTTCAGTGTGTCAGGAAACGAGCAACGTGTTAAATTCAAGCTGGTGCATTGTTTATAATAAGTGCGTGAACATGCACATCAGTATCTCGGTTACGATCAAGTTTTTTGAGTCATGCTGCATGTAAACGCACTTTCCCAGTTACAAGAATGTAAAGTTGAGGGCGAATGCATTCAAAAGAGAAATACTTCCTGAAATAGTTTCTGGGGCAGAATCTAGTTGTAGTCGTCATCAAACTTTCTTTAGCCAACCTCCCTAAACTGGAATTCTCACTGACGACCAAAATGCACGATTGCTACACAACACAGCTCTGTACGAGCCTCGGCCCAACCAGATTTTAACAAGCCCAACTGAACTTCTACACACAAACACGCTCCATGACGTAAGAGCCCGGCTCCACTGCACTCGTATTTACTCTCACGTATGACGTATTCTGCATTACGCGCTGCAACTATTGGACGTGTAAGTTTCAGAACGCATGAAAAGTGAATGAGGTCTGCTCCACTACACAATATAGGCGAGCGGATGTCCTATGCGAGTATATCTCATTGAAAAACAGAGCCCATACTGCGAGATTATGCATGTAAACACTGACACGTGCAAAGAAGCCAGAGCCTTAAAGGTTGGAAAGAAGATTTTCCAAAGAAAGAGAAATGCAGCGACTGTTTATTCGTTTTCAAATGTCGCGCTTCGCTCCTTTTCCCCTTCTTTTCTTCTTTCCGTGACGTCAAAAACGGACTTTCTTTTGCGATGAACTGGTTGTGAATTCTTGTCGGCCATTACAACAAACTTTGTGCGAACTGAGAGGAAGCTACAGTTCGAAAAAGACGCCAAGAAACCGCTGTGCTGGTCGAGTAAACGGCACCAGTGCGTGAGAGGAAAACATAAACCGTGTGATCCCAGCGCAAAGTCAGTGACGCTAGATACATAGGAAGTTTGATTGACAACCCAACAGCCAATAGATAAAGAGGTAGCCTTGTTTTCTATTGGCCGATGTTTATCCGGCCTCACCACGTTCACAGTTGATGGATTTTCATTCTCTTTTTTTTGGTCACCATAATTACAAGGCTGCTGCATCTCTGATTCTATTTTGAACTTTCACTGACAATTTGAAACAAACAAAGAAATCCTCCATACCACCTTTAAGATGTTCCATATGCTAAACTTTGTAACACAGACTCTCTGACTTTGCTTTTAACCCACTCAAAATGGAAACAGTGCAGTGTTATGTCTTGAACACTTCTACCTCGCTCATGGTCCGAATACACCGACTGAAAATGATTCCTGTCATTGCTAGTCCAAAAGAACACTTTCCCATAAAGCATTGCAGCCAACATAATACGCCACACGTCAATGTATATATTAGTGCACCATCTACTGGGAAACGCCGGAAATGCAGGAAAAATAAAACATTAACAAGGTTTATTATTATAATTCAAGTTTGGCGGGCCAGATTAAAAGGTTTAAAGGGCCACAGTTTGCCCACCCCTGCGCTACAGGGACATGGAGATGAAGAAAACTGGGACATTTTCTCAGTTTTCCTACATTTTGACAAGAAATTCGTCATCGCCTGTTTCCAAACATCTAACTGGATTTGTGCCGTAATGTGAACTGAGTCCGTTTGGAGTAAATGCTGCTTTCGCTTGAGCTCGGGACTTGGGAGAAAACCGACCTCCACCTCGAGAAAGTGCAATAAAACGGCCAATCAAAACGAGGTTCTGAAACACAAACTCGTTCGCTCGTTCGGCGCAGATCGAGTCGGGTGGATTTATGTCACAGCATAAATGTCGGCGCACACCGTAAACGGGGAGAATTGTCTTTGGGTCATGTTGATGTGTTCAGTTGTGTCTGTGCAGAGAAAGCGTCTTCTGAAAACTTTGTAGATTTATTTTTATTTTACATTTAGAACATTTAGACTTTCTCTCACGTCATTTGACATTAGACGCAAGTTTTTTTCTGGACATGAAAAAGTCAAACTGCCAGAAATGAGTCGCCTCAGGGTTGAGTCAAATCCGTGTGTCGTTCGTTCATTTGTTTTTCAAATTAAAACCAAAAATAAGAAATAAAAACCCAACAGTTTTCTTCATTATTTGTCTCCAAAACCAAAATGGAAAAAACAGATAATGAGTCATTTTTTTCTGTTTTTGATTTTGTGTTTAAAAGAAAAATGGGAAAAGTGGATAACGGACTGAACTAGGACTAAACCAGGTCCAGGACCAGACTGAGACCAGGACTTAGACCGGGACCAGACCAGGACCAGACCATGATTCAGACCTGGACTGAAAAAGGTTCAGTCCAGTTTAAGTCACGTAAACGGGAAACAGCCGTTATTTGTTTTTTCCATTTTTCATTTAAACACGAAATCGAAAACTGAAAAAAATGAATCATTTTCAGTTTTTTTTTTTTTTTTTCTTTTTGGTTTTGGAGACAAATAATGAAGAAAACAGTTATTTTTTTGTTTTCTTATTTTTGGTTTTATTTTGGAAAACAAATGAACGAACGACGCACAGATTCAGGAGGTTGAGTTCTTTGAGAGTCGGATGTGTCTTTCTACGAAGCTCGTCCCAAATGTGGTTCTACAAACTGTGTCTGGGATTCATAAGCTCCATATTTTCCCCGACTGTTGCAGTGGAACATTTACGACGGATGCTGGGAAAACTGACCCACATTTATCAACTACTGACATTTAAGAGAACGCAGCGTAAGTTCCATATTTGGAATTCTGACCGCGAGTATCATAGCAACCAAAGAGCCAATCAGGAGCGAGGTGGTTGAAGGTAACGGCCCCTTCCACCCGCCGCTGGTTTGGCGGGAGCGATGCTGAACAACTCCGTCAATCAGACCTGTTGATAAAGCTGACTGGAGCAACGTCGAGGAAAAGAAGCCCCGATGACCTGTTTTCACAACGACCTGAAGTGTCCTGCTGTAGGTTTGTGGAATCAGAAAACACTAGACCACAGGTGTCAAACATACGGCCCGGGGGCCGGATCCGGCCCTCCAAGACCTTTAATGTGGCCCTCGGCTGATTTTCAACTAAA